TCCTTTACTGGTTTCCCCTGGTGAACCTTTGCAGACCTCACAATGAAAGGCCAATGTTTACCCCTCCTTCTCCATATAGTACACCCCCTCCGCCCGCTTCCTCTTCTAAGAGTTGACTGCCAAGCTGAGCCATCAAAAACCCCTCTCTCAAATCTTGGAGTTAAGGATGGGGGCCTTGCCCTATCTGGTTTGGCTCAGTGGATAGAGCGTCGACCTGAGGACTGAAGGGTCTTGGGTTCGATTCCAGTCAAGGGCACATGCCCAGGTTGTGGGCTCGATCTCCAGTGGGGGGCGTGCAGGAGGCAGCCAATCAATGATTCTCTCTCATCATTGATGCTTCTCTCACTCCCTCTCCCTTCCTCTCTGAAATCAATAAAAATATATTAAAAAAAAAAAAAAGAATGGGGGCCTTGCCCTCGAGCCCGAAACCCGGTCATGTACCCTGACCAGGAATCAAACCAGCACCCCCTCGGTGCATGGGATGATGCCCAACCAACGGAACTGCACAGGCCAGGGCTTCTTTCTTTCTCTTTTAAAGATGTCTCTGGGGTGATTTTCAAAAATATACATATATTTTTATTGATTTCAGAGAGGAAAGGAGGGGGAAAGAGAGATGGAAACATCAGTGATGAGAGAGAATCATTGATTGGCTGCCTCCTGTACACCCCCTACTGGGGCTCGAGCCCTCAACCTGGGCACGTGCCATTGACTGGAATAGAACCCGGGATTCTTCAGTCCACAGGCTGACTCTTTGTTCACTGAACCAAAGTAACTAGGGCTGGGATGATTTCTTAAAATTGATTTTAGAGAGAGAGGAAGGGAGGGAGAGAGAGAGAAACATCAATTTGTTGTTCCACTTATTTATGCATTCATTAGTTGATTCTTTATATGCCCTGACCAGGTATCAAACCCAAAACCTTGGCATATTGGGACGATGCTCTAGCCAACGGTGCTCTACCCAGCCAGGGATCCTAAAATTTTCTGTCTTCAGCCATTATGTACATCTTCTCCTGTAGATCACAGTGTAGGTCATTAACATATGTATCAATGTTATCTTAAATTCTTTGCTAATCCCAATGTTTGCGTCACTTGCAGGCCTGTTTCTATGAACTGATCTTTCTCTTCATTACAGGTCACAGTTTCTTGTTTTGTTGAGGTCTAATAATTTTATTATATCTTTTTTTTTTTAAATATATTTTTATTGATTTTTTACAGAGAGGAAGGGAGAGAGATAGAGAGTTAGAAACATCGATCAGCTACCTCCTGCACATCTCCTACTGGGGATGTGCCCGCAACCCAGGTACATGCCCTTGACCGGAATCGAACCTGGGACCTTTCAGTCCGCAGGCCGACGCTCTATCCACTGAGCCAAACCGGTTTCGGCAATTTTATTATATCTTGGACATTGTATATGATATGTCATAGAAACTGGACCCTGTTCTCTTCCTCTGAAGAATGTTGAGTTTTATTCTTCTTGTGCCCTCCATCCATTTCTATGAGCCCTTCCCACATTCCATTCTGTCTCCACCCACATTGTTCCCAAGTCTTCCAGGCAGCACTTCTAAAGAATTTTACTGTGAAGAAAAGCAGAGAGGTAGGCAGTGCCTGAAGGGGGCTGTGTGGTCAATAAAAAGGTTTTGTTTGTTTGTTTTTGTTCATTTGTTTTTAACATGAGACAAATTACATAAATCAAATGGAGTGTCTCTAGTGGAGAAGAAAATTAGGAGTGGGAAATCCAGGGTGAAGTGGAAAAAATCATTCAGCAAGACGGGTCCATATGGTCAAAGATGAAGTGTGCCATGAATTGAGACGGAGAACTACTGGGGGCAACAACCAACACCCTCTTCTCCCCTCCCCTTCCTTATGATGCAGAGCAAACTGCCCTGAACACACATTCCTCCATTCAAGGTTGTGGATACTCATACCTTAGTGTTTTTTCTCTTTTACTCCCAAGTGCCTCCCAAGGCAAGAACTGGAAATAATGAATAAGTTGGTTGTTATGTTTCTCTGAGATCAACAAAGGCATTGCAGCATTCTTTAAGAGCACCAGGGGCCCACGTAAAATTTATTCAAAGACTGAGTGTGAGCCAGGAAGGGACCCGCTCTGCTACTACCTGGCTGTAATTGGACAGAGGGTTTCAAATCACTAGAGGCTTGAAGGTCAGTCTGTTTTCTACCTGCTTCTCCAAAATGTGGGCAGACAGTCAGAGTCTGGGGCAGTGGTATCTGCTGAGCCACAGCAGCCTGCTTCTTTGCCAGGAAAGTTTTTGTGCAGGGCATGGTGTCCTGGGACAAAGGGCTACAGAGCGGAGACAATGACCCCGCTGTGTGGCCCCAGCCAGTGGGCCCGAGACGATTCCTGGAGACATTTTTGTTGGGTTACTGCACACCCACAAATAGCTGCTTGAAAGGGAAAAGAACAAAACTTGACAACTAGAGGGTTATTTAGAAAAGGCATTTTAAAACTAACAGATACACAGATGCGCCTGTTCCCTCTTGCAATAGACTCTAAATTGTTCTCCTAGCCTCCAGTCTCTCCCACACCAATCCATGCTGCATGTTGTAGCAGGATAGCCCTCCTTAAAGCACAGGTTTCATCTTGTTGCAATGTTCAAGTACCTTCAATGGCTCCCTGTTGCCTTTAAAATAGCCAAGCAGGCCCTAACCGGTTTGGCTCAGTGGATAGAGCGTCAGCCTGCGGACTGAAGGGTTCCAGGTTCGATTCCAGTCAAGGGCATATACCTTGGTTGCGGGCACATCCCCAGTAGGAGGTGTGCAGGAGGCAGCTGATCCATGTTTCTCTCTCATTGATGTTTCTATCTCTCTATCCCTCTCCCTTCCTCTCTGTAAAAAAATAAAAAATATATATTTAAAATAGCCAAGCAGCCCGGCCGGCGTGGCTCAGTAGTTTAGTGTTGACCTATGAACCAGAAGGTCAGGGTTTGGTTCCCAGTCAGGGCACAAGTCCGGGGTGCGGGCTTGATCCCCAGTGTGGGGCATGTAAAAGGCAGCCGATCAATAATTCTCTCTCATTATTGATGTTTTTATCTCTCTCTTCTCTCCCTTCCTCTCTGAAATCAATAAAAATATATATTAAATAAAAATAAAATAGCCAAGCATTGAAGATCCTTCATAGTGGAGCTTCTCTTCTCTTCCCACCCCATCTGCCACTGCTCCCTGGGACATCTGCTGAGCTGAATCTCTCTCCAGCCGGGCTCTCTTCGTGATCTCTCTTCCTCTGCTCCCACTCTTCCCTGAATCACTTCTACTCAATTTTTTATCACTCTTAGTTTATTTTTTAAAACATATTTTATTGATTTTTTTACAGAGAGGAAGGGAGAGGGATAGAGAGTTAGAAACATCGATCAGCTGCCTCCTGCACATCCCCCACCAGGGATGTGCCCACAACCAAGGTACATGCCCTTGACTGGAATCGAACCTGGGACCGTTCAGTCCGCAGGTCAACACCCTATCCACTGAGCCAAACTATCACTCTTAGTTTAGATGTTATTTCTTTTGGGGGCCTTCTTTCCTACCCACAAACATCTGGGCTGAGCTAGGTGCCCCAGCAAGAGGCTTACACGATACCCTGATTTTCCTATTTCAAAAATAATGGTTGTTTGTTTCTCTTTCCTGCTACACAACAAATTCTGTGAGATAAGGAAGAAGACAAAGATGTCTGTTCCTACCACTTCTATTCAAAATAGTACTGGAAGGTCTAGCCGGAGTAATTAGGCAAATTTAAAGGAAAAACTAAAATTATCTCTATTTATAGATAGCACACAAGAAGCAACCAATGAATGCATGAATCGGTGGAGCAACAGATTGATGCTTCTCTTTTGCTCTAAAATCAATGGATAAAATAAAATAAAAAACTTAGAGCTAATAAACAATTCAGCAAAGTTGTAGGTTGCAAAATCAATATGTAAAAATCACTAACAAGAAATGAATAGGAAAAAAAAGTAAAGCCACAACAAAAATAACTAGCAATGAACAACTTAAAAGACTTAATACTAGTATGATGGCAATACTCCCAAAATGATCTACAGGTTCGATGCAATCCCTATCAAAATCTCAGCTCCTTTTTTTGGCGAAAATTGACAAGCTAATCCTAAAATTCATGTGGAGATGTAAGGGACCCAGAATAGTTAAAATATTTTGCAAAGGAAAAATAAAAAAGATGGAGGACTGAATAAAGTTGGAGGACTTAGGCTTCCAGATTTCAAAACTTACTCCATATCAAGACAGTGTGGTATTAGCATAAGAACAGAAATATAGATTAATGAAATAGACTTCAGAGTCCAGAAATAAGTCCTTATATTTATGCAAGGACTTATTTGATAAGGATACCAAGAAAATTCAATGCAATTTAGCACTACTAACTAAGACTGAATTTGCACATATGCCTGGCACAGTGTAGGCGCTTAGTTAATGATAAACATCATTATTGGTTATTTTGGCTCCATTCTAATGCCTCTTATACTTCCCTGGGTCCCCAAACTTTGGCATCTTGGCACCTCTGGTGGTTAACAGCAGGCCTTCAAATGGTATTGCTTTTGTAACATTTAATCAAGGTAACACGTTTCCAAACTCCCAGAACGGTCTGCTGATGGCGACCCGCCTTTTCCATCATTCTTTCAAAGTGAGGACGAGGTGTTTGAAAAGGCTCGGGCTTTCCCTCAGGACACTATTTACATGGTCAAGAAAAGGAGGTGTTTAGGACAGGTCTTTGCCAGCTCTAAAATTCATTGAAATCAACTCAAACATTTGATTTAACATTTTTTATTTTTGGACACTGCCCGTTAAGCATTTAATATCTTTTATTGATTCAGTGGCCAACTAAGGCAGCATCTGCTCAGTTAGGAAGGCACCTGTCAGAAACAACATGCACAAATGTACTGCAAGGCCCCTGTCACAGGAGAGCGCCGAGCTCCCGGGAGCAGGGACTGTGACTTCATGGGTTTAGTAGCACCTCAACTTGCACACAGGAGCCCTTACAGGAAAACACTCAAACCCTTTTATTTCCCGCCCCCTCACTTCTCTACTTCTCTTCTTTCCTCCATTTCCAAGCTTTCATTTAGCAAAAGAAACAGATACTAGAAGATAACTCGTCGAGTAATTCCAGGACCAGGCTACTGTGGGCGGAAGAGTCTGGTTTTAGAGCTGGAATATTAAAAAAAAAAAAAAAAATTGTTTTTAAAGCAGAATACATTTAGGTAACATATCTATTTGGAACTTGAGTCCTTAAAGAAATGGCTTTGCCCTGGTTCATCACCTTGCTCCCTGGGCCTAAGTGGGGAGTGGGGGTAGGAGAGGGGGATGAAGCAGGAATCGTTAGAGCTCTGGTGGGTTTAGAAAGGGCTCCTCTCGCTACAATCAGGGGAGCTCAAAGGAGGTTACTAACTGGCTTTGCCCCCACTTTCGGTTTGGAGGCCAGACCCCTGACCTCCACTCGGACACACGGACAAGTCTGTCCTCTTGTTCAGTCCACAAAGGACTCCATGTTCTTTGAGCCGGGATGGTGGAGAAGAGTGTGACACAACAAAAAGATGGACTTTGGAGTCAAAGAGACCTGGGTTTGAGTCTTTGCAACTTCCTAGCTGTGTGACTTTGGACAAGTGCTTTTTCTCTTTGAGTTTGAGATTCTCATCTGCCAAGGGAAAAAGAATACGCCCCAGGTTATTGGGAAAAATAAATCCTATAAGATAACTCCTATGAAAGCACCTCGCAACGTGCCTGGTACGTGGTGGGTATTTAAACTCAGTACAGAGAAAAGGTGTCTGGGGAGGAAGAATTTGCCAGTATTTCTCCAGACACATTTAAGTGAGCGTTTTTATAGTGGGATGGCCTGAGTCAGTCCTCTCACCTCCCTGATCCTCAATTTCTCCTCAAAAGGGATTCTAATCCCATGAGGGAGAGATTCCTAGAATTGAAGTTAAATGTCAGAGTGTGTCACTTCACTTTCTGTTACAGAATAAGGATTGATTACCTTGTTTTCAAGATGCCTTCCATTCCAAGATGCACAACTGATTTTAAAAACAGCTGAGAGAGAGACAGAGACAGAGAGAGAGAGAGAGAGAGAGAACAACTACATTAAGGGACCCATCAATTTTAAGACACATGCTGAGTTCATAATCATTAAAATGTGAAAAAATGTTTTGCAATTGAAGAAATATCATAACAGCAGCACCAGCTCCCATTCACTAAGCATTTGCTGGTGCCAGGCACTATCAGAGCTGCTTCACTGAGACCATGACTCGTTATTGTAGCACCCTGAGGCAGATATTATCATTCTCACTTCAAGGTCAAGAAACCAGATAAGGAGAGGTCCAGTCACTTCCCCAAGGCCACACAACCAGGAAGTAGGGCTCGGAAGGCAGGTCTTCTTAACTCCAAAACGCTTTAAGGAGGCAAAGAGGCCAGCTCTCTACAGAGAAATGAGTTGTGAACGAGGTACTTTGAATGTGTCCTGACTTTCTGCAAGGTGACCAGGAAAGGGCACAGGTAACATAAATAGAGCTGTAATCTAATCTGTCCAAACACTGGTTCTCGAGCGGACGTGTTAACCCGAGATCGAGGATTGCTCAGAATCCAAATCGAGGGGAGCCGAGAAATGAGACTGAGCCGGGGTTAATCCGCCCAGAGCGGAAGGAGGGGCTCTGACCAGCCACCAGGCTGTTCCAGGCCCCCGGACACTGTAGCAGTCGGTAGTGACTTAGAGGCCATTAATCCTCAAGGTCACCCTATGCCTGCCAATCTGACTCTTACTAATGATCAGAAACCTTTGGGGAAGAATTCCGTGTTCTCCTCAACCTTCTTAAAGAGGGAAAGGTGTGCTGACCAATCAATTGTCCTGAGCTAGTTAGCGGTCATCTAGTACTGGAATAAGTTACAAATTAACGAGCTGGTTTTCTGGTTAGTTAGTCCAGTTAGTTCCCCTGATTATGGGATTGAATAGTTCGCTCGGCAAAGCTGTGGATATGGCCCTTCCTCTGACATGACTCAGTTGTGACCCTCTAGGGAGCATGCCCTGACCCCTGACCCCTGACCCCTGACCCCTGACCAGAAAACTCCTGGGCTGGCTGTCTGTCTAGCTATCATTTTTGAGGGGAGAGAGCCAAACCCACATCATTGGATTCCCTTCACAGCTCTACCTCCTCAGATGACAAAAGGGTGTTCCACAGCTTTTCGGTAAGGTGGCAGCAGAGATACGGACACAGTGGGGGTGAAGAGGGCAGGGCAGGATGGGGATGGGGGTTGCCTGAAGCTTCAGGGATTGGATGAGAAGCCCCTGTCGATCTGACTGGAAGGAGCTCATATTGAAGCTGCCAAAGGAGAAACGTGCTTGTTGGTCTTGACTGGAGAAGGCTCTTCAGACAGTAGCTGAGATGGCACCAGGGTGGGGGTCACCGAGTCTCCACGTGGACGTCAACAGGGCTGAAGGTCACAGTTGCAGGCTGTTGGCTGCTGCTGCTGTTAGGGCCTTGAGCATAGGGGGAGACTGGCTTGGGGCCCTTGGGCTCCAGCTCCCGCCTCGCCCTCATTTTCCTGCAATGAGATACGCACACTTGGTTGAGTCTCTCCCCTCCTGTCCCCAGGGAGTGAGTTCTGTGACTATGGCTCTGGCGAAGAGATTAATGTTGATCATCATTAAATTATGTGGCTTAATTGCCAACCATAGAATTTCACAGCTGGACGGGACCTTAGACATCAGCTAGTCTGACCCTTTGATTTTTTGTTTAATCTAAATTACATATTTTATTTTATTTTTTCTTATTAATGAATGAGTAAACTGTCAGATAGGTGGCTGTATTAAAGACGTTCCATTTTTGGTAGCATGAGTTAAGTTTTGCAGCCTCATTATGGGGGCTAATTTTATTGCTAGAAATATTTAGTAACTTTGAACATAATTGAGAAGAGAATATACTTAAAATGCATATCCTGTCTTTCATTTCATATGCCATAAAATTCAATAATTAACAACAATCATTCATTCTAATGTCTATGTATTTCCTCTTGTTGACCTGTCATAATTCTTTTTTAAAAATTTCAAATCCTCAGAAAAGTTGCACAAATAGTGCAATTAATATTCGAATACCCTTCACCAAACAGTTCACTGGTTGTTACCAATTCACCAGATTTGTTTTCTCTCTCTCTCTCTCTCTCTCTCTCTCTCTCTCTCTCTCTCTCTCCCCTCCACCACTTACACATACACACACACACACACACACACACACAGAATTGTGTGTGATTACGAGCCATTTGTGAGTTAGTTGCAGACACTATGCCACCTTACCCCTCGGTAGTACTAAGAACAAGGGCATTCTCCAATGTAACCATAACACAATTATCACACTTTGAGATCCTTCCATTTGAAAGATGATAGAATCAGCACTGAGAGGTTAAATGACTTGCCTGACAGACCAAACATCATTGTAAACAGGGGTGAGTGGAGTCTTCATCCACCTTACCCGCTCGAAAAGGGGCTTAGAGTCCCATCAACGACAGAGAGGAATGAAGGGTAGACACGGGGGTTTGATGCCACTTCCTGGTTTGGGATAGGCTCAAATTGTAACACCCCAAAGGATTTAAAAAATAACTTATTACATGTTATCATTATCATTATTATTACTTGTAGTGGTGTAGTATTTTCTTTGAAGCGAGATGGACTGGGCTGAGTCCCAACTCTGGCAATTAGGGTTTCGTGACCTTGGACATGTTACTTAATCTTCCTGTGCCTGTTTTTTCATGTCTAAAATTTTGGGGATAACAGTAGGACCCACCTCGTGGGGTTGTTGTAAAGTGTAAATGACTTAATACATGTAAGAAGCTTAGGACATGCGTGGCACATAGTAAGAGATGAATATATGTCATCTACCGATATAAATAATATTAATTTTATGATAAAAACAATGCATGTTTACTAATCCTCAAAAATAAGGATGGCCCTAACCGGTTTGGCTCAGTGGATAGAGCGTCGGCCTGGGGACTGAAGGGTCCCAGGTTCGATTCTGGTCAAGGGCATGTACCTTGGTTGCAGGCTCATCCCCAGTGGGGGGTGTACAGGAGGCAGCTGGTCGATGCTTCTCTCTCATCGATGTTTCTAACTCTCTATCCCTCTCCCTTCCTCTCTGTAAAAAAATCAATAAAATTTATATTAAAAAAAAACTATATCCATTGGGCCTGAGGTGAAAGAAATAAAAAGCAAAATGAAATTTAAATTAAAAAAAAAAAAAGGATGCACGGGCCCTTCCCCTAGAAAAACCAACCACCAACTGACTAGCAACCCCATACAGCCCCTGCTTGTTAACACCTTGTTGTGTCTCATTTGAGCCCTCCTTGAATGTGAGTGTGTAATCCAGGTGTCTTATCATACTGCACATACTGTTTTTTAAACTTTGACAATTGATCTCTTCCTTGAAAAGAATGACCTTCTAGCAAAGTTGTGATTAGAGGTGATAACACAACATTTATTCTTCATGCAATCAAGTTCTATTATTTTATTTTATCTTATTTGGTCCCAGAAAGTGGAGTCACGTGTACATGTATTTGTCACCCCAAATAGTCCTGTGGTTCACCCAGCAGAGGAGTACCCAAGAGAAGAGGATTGAAACATCCCTCTATTACCTGTATGTATGTACAGGTGTTTGCCACCATGCTCCAGGCCTAGATCATTGTCATTATCACTGTTATATTTAAAAAATAGTATCTCGCCGAAACCGGTTTGGCTCGGTCGATAGAGCATCGGCCTGCGGACTGAAAGGTCCCAGGTTCGATTCCAGTCAAGGGCATGTACCTTGGTTGCGGGCACATCCCCAGTAGGAGATGTGCAGGAGGCAGCTGATCGATGTTTCTCTCTCATCGATGTTTCTAACTCTCTATCTCTCTCCCTTCCTCTCTGTAAAAAATCAATAAAATATATATATATAAAAAATATGATCTCCAAGTACAAAAATATTTGGTCGCTGTGAAGTTCCTATAGGGGAGCAGATATCAAAAAAGGACCCACAAAGGGCTGGAGGCTGAGGACGGACTCTTGGGTGCTGCTGGGCACGTGAGGGGCATCCACACGTGTCAGCTCCCGTTCATTCTGGCGTCACTGAAGGGACCCATACCTGTTGTACACCTTCAGCAAGATCAGAACCACGGTGAAGATGATGATGACAACCACAACAACGGCAGCCACGATGGCTCCAGAACCTACAAGGAGGAGAGGAGAGGTGACAAATGTGGGGCCTGAAATGCGGAGGAGCAGTCAGAGCCTGGGAGGGGGACTCCTACCGCGGCACCTGACATCCCCACTGGGCCAAGGGGAAGACAAGAGAATGCCGCACCTCACTGCTGACCCCGGGACAGAGCCACGTCTGAGTAGCCGTGCTCCCTACTCCCAACGGGGCTTGGGAGCTATGTCCTCAGCACATCGCCTGCCAAAACTCTGCCTTGGGTCGAGTCCAGCGTTACCCAGCTTCAAACCTCTTTTGTGAAACAGGCAAGCAAAATACCCTTCCCTCTTTTTTCTTTATTTTAAACTATTTCTCACCGGAGGATATTTTTTTTCCATTGATTTTTAGAGAGTGAAAGGGAGGGAGGGAAGGAGGGGGAAAAAGAGAGAGATCGGTTGCCTCCTGCACGCGCCCCAAATAGGGCTGAGGATTGAACCTGCAACCCAGGTATGTGCCCTTGGCTAGGAATCGAACCCGCGACCCATCAGTGCATGGGCTGACACTCTAACCACTGAGCCACACCGGCCAGGGCCCTTCCCTCTTTTTGATAATATAAAAGGAATATGTAATTTTTGTAGAAAAATTTGAAAATACAAACAAAAAAAGGGAGAGGATAAAGACCTCATTGCCCCAAGAATCACTGATTTTCTACACATATATCCACCTTCACCTTAATCCAGCTCCCTGCCAGCACCACAGCCTGGACCTGTTCATTACTGGGGGACACACCACGTGTCAGGAGGCCGGCTACATTTGCAGAAGTGTATACCAAGTCAACTGAAATGACTGAAACGGACCCAGCCTTCCCCCAATACAATCAACTGGTGTTCTGAAGAGTGGCCCTCAAATGTTTCCTCCTGGGGACCCCTTGTTCCTGCAGATGCCTCACCTGGGCTAACTCCTCCCACCTACATTCATTTACTCCTTTGTGAACTGATGGGATATGTTTGCCTTTCAAAATTAGTATGAAAGTAACTACACTTTAAGGCGACCCATTTAAGGACAAATTACAAAAGATTCAAATTCCCATGGCCCTCTAGACCCCAAAACTCCCTAATGAAAATAATAGCAGTAATAATACTACCCATTAGGTACTTAGCACACATCCAGCTGTTCTAAGCTCTTTACATGGATTGTCTCTTTTAATCCTCACCTACCTTATCTGGTAACTTCATTAATATCCCACTAACAGATGAAGAAACAGGCACAGAGCAGTGAAGTCACATGCTCAAGGTCACCCAGTTGGCAAGCAGTAGAACTGAGACTGAGACCCAGGCAGTCTGTCTCCAGAGCCCAAGCTCTTGACCTCTAGGCCAGGAGCTGACCTTGACACTTTCCCCGCCATCCCTCCCCCAGCTGCCACGCCAAGTGGACCTTACTCTTGTACAGAAAGTCATCTTCTCTGGTGGTCACGTTCAATGAGAAGAAGGTGGTCCCCCCCAGAGGGGTGGCTGTGGTCATCTTGATCCTGGTGAGAATGAAGATGAAATTTTGTTTCAAATCAGAGTAAGCTTTATAACCCCGGTGTGACGCTTCCTTTGGTCTTTATCTGGATGATTGGAGAATATTCAAGCCTTCAGCAAGTCAGTACAGGCCCTTTACTATATACTTTAGGGAATTAAAAATACTGTCTGATATTTGTAAAGAACTTCATCTTTCAAAGCAGTTTAAATTCATTCAACATTTATTAAACTCCCCCTGACCAGGTTCACACAGAATGTCTGAATTGCTCTTCAAGAAACGGTGTGAGGGAGGTTATTATTATTGCCATTCGACTGATGAAACTGAAGCCCCCAAACTACATGCAGCCCCAAGTTTACCCAGCAGAAGTTAACCCAGGACATCTGCCTCCCACACTAGAGGGCTTTTCACCGTCTGCAACAGTGTCTGGAATGATATTCCTGCTTTTAAATGTTTTATAATCTAAGGAGGCGATGGGAAAAAAAATTAACTATGATGATGAAGTAGTCAGTGACATAAGCCACGGGAGGAGATCAATTCACATGGGCTGGCGGGTGAGAGGAAGGAGGACAAAGGTCAGGTTGCACAAAGCTCTCCATGGGAAGAGAGTTAATGCATGTTGAGCATTTATCGTGCACCAGGCTCTGTCCCAGGTGCCTTCACACACCACATAAGCTCATTTAATCCTCTCATTTTGCAGCTGAGCAAACTGAGGCTGAGTGGTTGAGTAAATGAACCAAAAGCACACAGCTAGGAAGATGGGGAGCCTGGACCGGGAATTGAACTGTGACCTCCTGGTTCAGAGGTCAATGCTCAACCAACAGCCACGCCGGCCAGGGTATATATTATTCTTTATAATTAAAAAATATTTCTGCCCTGGCCGATGTGGCTCAGTTGGTTGAGTGTCATTCCTTGCACCAAGAGGTTGCTGGTTCAAATATGGTCAGGGCACATGCCCAGGTTGCAGGTTGCAGCCTCCCTCCCCAGTAGGGGGCATGCGGGAGGCAGCAGATAGAGGTTTCTCTCTCCCTCTTGCTTCCTCTTTCTCTAAAAAAATCAATTAAAAAACATATTTAAGAATAATAAAGCCCTGGCTGGTTTGGCTCAGTGGATAGAGCGTCGGCCTATGGACTGAAAGGTCCCAGGTTTGATTCTGGTCAAGGGTACATGCCTGGGTTGTGGGCTCGATCCCCAGTAGGGGGCGTGCAGGAGGCAGCCGATCAGTGATTCTCTCTCATCATTGATGTTTCTATCTCTCTCTCCCTCGCTCTTCCTCTCTGAAATAAACTCGCATTGAACAAATGTTTACAATCATATTTTCTTCTGTTCTTTATTTAAAAAAAAACACACAAGAGACTCAGTTGAAATCCCTTTTCTATTCTATCTCAATCCTTCCCCCAAGGTTACTACCTTGGCTAACAGTGTATATTCTTTTCATCAAAGTTTTAAAAAAGTTTACTACATATGTATATGTCCATAAACATAACGTATACCCATAAACAGAGTATATATCCATAACCCTTACATATACTGTGAGTCAACATATTTAGTAAACCAATATGAATCGAACACCTACTAAGTGATTGACCCTGTGCTGGGTGCTGGGAATACATCATGAAATAAAAGACAAACTCCCTGCCTCCAGAAGCTCACAGTCTATTTTATTTTATTTTTTGGGGGAGAAGCTCACATTTTAGTAGAGAAAGACCGTAGGTGTGACCACGGCATTCTTGGGCTCAAAAAACAACCATCTCCCCAGCGCCCACACTTCTAAATCTGGCAGCAAAAGCCCTTCATGGGCCATTTCCACCCTCTGTCTTCAAGCGTTCAGCTCCTCACACCAGCCTCTGCCAAAAGCTGTGACAATGGACCTCTCCATCGTCCCCCGTCATTCCTGGTCTTTGCTGTCTCTGGGCTGGCTGCCCCGGGCTTTGCCCTCCCCAGGCCCCCACAGTGAGCGTCTCCCGAGAGCCCCCACCGCTGGGCCACTTCTCTGCCAGACCCTCCCAACTCCTGATGGGAACACTCCTCCGCTGGGTCAGGCCATCCCAGCACCCAGGCTGGGGCTCCCGCCTCAGGAGGACCCTCTGTGGCCAGGCCCTGTGGATCCATAGGATGACTCTGCCTTCACTTTCTCAGCTCTCCCCTAGGTCTCTGCCTAAAGCCTCCTGGCTCTTGTCTGTGCCTCCTCCCGAAGACCAGACCCTCAAGATGCCCAGCGAGGAGTCCCTTGTGGCTCTGCCCCCTGACCTCCCCACCTTGGCCAACGTTTCTTCCCGGATGGACTTCCTGTCCTAACCGTCCTCAACAGGCCCAGGTCGGCCATGCTCCCCTGCCTGCTCCCAATCCAAAAAGATCACATCCTTCAAGACTCAGCCCAGTCACCCCAGGAAGAGTCCTCCCCGGACAGAATTAGCCATCCAGTCCTCTCCCACCCTCAGCAGCACTCAGAGAAAAACACACCACAGCGTGCGGCTCACTTGCTGTGGCTGGCAGTTAAGCTCCCAGGTTCACTGAAGGTACAGCGTTTCTGGTTCTTTCTCAAAGCCTTCTACCTGCCCCAGATAACGTGTCCGGATCCGCTCACCTTTGCCAGTGGAAGTACCTGGGGGAGTAATTGACCTTCTCCCAGCTTGGTTTGCTCATCTGTAAAATGAGGTAGCTTTTCCCAAGGGAGCTGAGGGGTAGAGGTTAAGTATGAAAAGTGCTTTTTCGTATTCTAGTGGATATTAGGAAATATTTGCTGAACTAAATTAGACAAGGTGGATCTGGAACTGAAAACAACAACAAATTCTTTCTATAAAAATAAGCATGGACCAATATGAGAACATGGAATGAAAGTCTCCCCCCACCCCCCACAACCCATCCCCCTACTCCAGCGGTTCTCAACCTGTGGGTCGCGACCCCTTTGGTGGTCGAACGACCCTTTCACAGGGGTCGCCTAAGACCATCCTGCATATCAGATACTTACATTACGATTCATAACAGTAGCAACATTACAGTTATGAAGTAGCAACGAAAATAACTTTATGGTTGGGTCACAACATGAGGAACTGTATTTAAAGGGCCAGAAGGTTGAGAACGGCTGCACTAGGGGGTCCAGGACCAGTCGCCACAGAAACATGCGTGTGTGTGCACACACACACACACACACACACACAGACACACACTGACCGGTAGTGCAGCGTCTAAGGCACCAGGACACGGCTCCTCTCAGGATGACTTCCTGGGCAACCTCCCCAGTTCCAGGTACAACTCTTTTGGGTGGGCCCAGATACTCTTCTTTCTGAGAGCAGTGAGCAGTCTCAGAGCGTCTCTTGCCTCATCTCGGGATGAAGGCTCTCAATTACAGCTCTGTTCCTGCCACCTCAGAGAAGGCGGGAGGGAGGGAGGGGGAACAGTGACGGCCGAGGCTGTGGGTGTTTTCATGTGTGGAGCCCCAGCCGGTCTTGTTAACCAAGTGAGGTCCAGTAGGGGGATTTCAGTATCAAATATGCCTATGACCAGGGTCTATGGCTGTAGAAAAGGGGGTGCATAGGAGTGTACGGGGTGGGTGATGCTGGTTTTCACTGACTGAGGTTAATTTAATAATAATAATAATAATAATAATCTATAATAATAAAAGTGTAATATGCTAATTAGACCAGACAGCCAAACGACCTTCTGGACGACCTTCCAGACGAAGCCGGGGCTATGAGGGCTGAGCCCCTTGCATGAATTTCGTGTATTGGGCCTCTAGTAATAATAATAATAATAATAATAATAATACAACTATGTGCTAGGCACTGCACTCAGTGCTTTGTGTGGAAGATCTTATTTAATCCTCATACCTATCTGGCAAGGAAGGTGCAGTCACTGTGCCCATTCTACAGATGAGATAATTGAGGGTCAGAGCAGAGTGAAATCAATATAAGCTTACCAAGCTAGTATTGTAGCTGTGCTAGCATTCAAGCTGGGTCTGTCGGATTCCATAACCCCTTCCCCCAGTGAATCCTCCCAGTGAATACACAAGATACAAATGGCCCAGCATCCAGAGCTCAAGTCAACATCAGGCTCCGATGGAAAACCTACACAGGCTGGGGCGCAGCAGAGAGAGGCAGAGCCCTTGCCACAGGCCCCTGCCCCTGACTGATCCTACCTTACTGGTCCCTGCCCTGGGCAACACTGGACAACACTGGACGTCTTCAGCAGAGCCTTAATTACATTTACAAAATCAACAACGGATTGTTGTCCCTTGGGTTGTTTACAAATGGCCTTGTGCGGGAGGTCAGTTTGGGAAGTGATAGAGGGTCATGACCATTTACTCCTGAGCCACTCCGCCCTGTTCCTTGGTCAAGTGTCAGAGCCAAATCTGGAAGATAAATGTTGCCAGGCCCACCTGTCGAAAATATCTCCCCTACTGCTCTGCCCCGGTGGTACCCTCCTTCCCTCTGGCTTGGCCTAAAAGTTCCCTGTTGGATAAGAAAGCAAAGACTACCAATCTTAGGTGACCCCTGCTCAAAAGGCCAACTGTAACTCAGAGTAAATAACCCATGAATGACCTTGACCCACTGAAACATTGGGATTGATTTCCCTAATCACCTGAGAGATGGGAGGTTCAGCATGACTCGGTCTGTTCCACAGACAAAACTCCCACCGATCCTAAGCAGCCCCTGGGTTTGTTGGGAAGTTTTAATTATCAGAAAATTAATCTTCATGTTGGAACCAACATTTTTCTTCTTGTGATTTTCACCCATTGGTCCTAATTCTCAGCCCACAAAGGTAATCTGCTACCTCTTACACGTGACAACTGTCAAGTTAAAAGCACTTCTGTGGTCCTAGCCTGTTTGGCTTAGTGGTTAGGTCTTCGTGTTGGCCTGTGAACTGAACTCAGGGATGCAGGTTTGATTCTGTCAAGGGCTTGTAGCTCATACCTCGGTTGCAGGCTTCATCCTTGGTCAGGGCGTGTGTGGGAGGCAATCAATTGATGTCTCTCTCTCACATTGATGTTTCTCACTGTCTCTCCCCCTCCCTTCCACTCTCTCTAAAAATCAATGGGGAAAAAATGTCCTCAGGTGAGGATTAAAAAAAAAAAAAGCTCTTCTATGCATGAAAGGTTAAATTCAAACTTCCATTGGATGGAGCAGTTAAAGTAGCTGATATCAACACTTCAATTTTACCTCCCACCAATAGGTGGCAATAGCAGTTGGTTAGATTATGCCCCTTTGTACTTAACGTACAAATGACTGGTAAATGTCCTGTGAACTCAACCTGTTTCTAAGTAAAGGAGTTTTCTGCCCTTGTAAACAGCAATTGTATGTTCTCTGATTCATTGCTTCTCAGGGATAAATAGTCCCAGATCCTTTAAGTAAACTTTGGGGTTCCTCATTTTTCTGTGTCAATGTCTCCCTTAAATTCAGTACCACAAACTGAACACATGACTCGACAGGGGTCCTGAAATGTCTGGAATGACACTTTTCTTGATACTTATCAGAATTCTATATGACCTTTCTTCACCTCTTGGGTTTTCTGATCCGTAAAACAGCAATTATAAACTCCAGAGGGTTGTTGTGAGAATTAAATGAAATAAATCATGTAACATATTTAGAACAGGGGCTGTGCACAAAACCTATTGGTATTACACTGGATTAATGCAAACAAATAGCTCATTAGCTTTACAGGGGCCACAGTACACTGCTCATACACACCCCGTTGATGTGCCCCTAAAACTTTTTCAGACTTTTTCTTATACTTGTTCATGGTCAATCAGAGCCCTAAGATTGGTAAGTAAAAGGGCTTGCTAAACTGCAAAGTGCAGTTTTATTTCCTTTTATGGAAAGAAAAGGCAATGGCAGTTGCATTATTAAAGGTAATGATATTAAGATGAGCTGCTGTCCAGTGACTAGGTCTCCATTACGCTTTTGTGCAAATGTCTTTTTGAACTTAAGTGCAGAGCTTTGCATTGATTCCTGTTAGCCTTGACTTTGTTGATTTGGGCCTTCAGGAAAGAGAGTCCAGCTCCATGAAGTATGATGTCCCAAGGAGGGAACTGAGGAGGGATTCCCCAGAACTGCCTGAGGGTTCCAATTTTCTCCTCTATCTCCACTGAGGGCAGAGATAGAGGAAATAATGACACCTCCCCCAGAAAGGCAAAAGTCCTAATGCGACTGGTAGAGCATGGGGGCTGTTGGGTGGGCCAAGGAAGAACAAGTAACAGATTCTTGGGGTGAGAATCAGGAGAACAGGGTTGCCTTTCCCACTCGTTTTGCATGTGACTTTGGAAAGCTCTCCTCTCCCTGGACCTTAGTTTTCCCATCTGTAAAATGGTCCCATTTGAAGATGATCTCTAAGAACCTTTCCAATCTATAGTTCTGTTGTATGCAACAGCTATTCAGAGCTTAACTTGAGAACCAATATTTTCATTTTTCTTGGTAGATGCTGACTCGGGGGTGTTAGGAGAGGGAAGTCAGCATATGCAATTCACGCTGGAAGGCAGGAATGCTTCCTGGAAGGCATCTGAGACTGGACCAAACTGAGGAGAACTCCACACAGGGGTCTGAGGTGGCAGCAGCAGTGCATATGGAGTGAGCCTCCAAACACTCTGTTGGGCACAGAGTAACCCAATTCTGCCTGAATCCTAAAGGGCCACCTCCTACACTCTCCATTCCTGCTGGGTTCCACATCATCTCCCCCGCTCCATCTGCCTGCCTGTGCATGGCTCTGTCCCCTTATGTATTACAGCTCCCAAAGATGGGATCCAACTTAGCTTAATGTTCCCTTGCACTTGGGGCCACCCACAATTACAAACCAAATACATGTTCCTTGTGGTTGGTTTTCAGAAATTAGGAAGCACATTTCTGGTTTCAGTTATCCACCTATTCTTTCATCCTCCCATCCACTCACGTACCCACCCACCCATCCATCCACTGCACACAATTTACCCTCCACCTGTTCTCCTGTCCATTTGCCCTGTCATTCATTCAACCAGCGCCTACCACGTACATACTAGCACAGAGAGGATTCAAAGAAGGGCTGTGGGGATCACCTTCCTAGAGCTATAGACAGTGAGGATAAGAAGTGGAATTGTTTCCTTTAAGAATCTCTCCTTCAATCAATAATTATTGGGAATCATCTCCCTCGGGTCTAGCCCAGCACTGATCTCAGAGATGCCTGATCAATATCATACTGAAGTCCTATGGAAAAAGCAGTGGCTTGCAGATCTGGGTCCTCGGCCCACCACTTCTATGAAGTCTTAGTTACCTCCTCTGTCAAATCCTGCCTTGAGGGTTCTCTGTTTCTGATTTTCGTGGCCCACATTGTAAAGAAAGCTGCCTCAAGGAGCTCCCAACCCAAGACGCGTGAATCTAAGTTCCACATGCTAAGATCTATAAATAGAAATCCCAGATGAAAGTGGTCATGGGGCAGATTTTTGCCTAGTGCCAAAAGGTGGCACAAACAGTGCCAGGAGTCGGTGGGAGGACGAGACCTGTGGGCGTTGTGGTTGAGTCTGACCAAGAGTTGGAATGTGACCTGTGGCTTCCATCTGGCCCTCAGTCTTTGGGCACAAGCCAAGGGCCCGGCTCCCAAGTCTCCTCAAACGACACCTCCCGCACAAATCTCCAGGTGCCCCCCTGTCCCCAAGGAGAAAAAGAAGGCACAAGGTTAAAGAATGTATGCCCTTAAGTGAATATGGCAGAAGAAAAGAATTCCACCTTGACATTCTGGTCAGGAAGGGGCGGGAGCTAACATTTAAGAAGACACTAACACAGTGCTAGGCACTAGGCTCCCACATGCTTTCTCATGTAATCACTTCAACAAGGCGGGTTTTTTATTTGTTTTTTTTTTAAATCTCCATTTTACTGATAGAAAACGGAGGCTCAGAGAGGCTGAGTGACTTGCTCCAAGTCTTATAGCGAGTGGAGGAGCTGAGACTCAAACTCACATCTTCTACCTCCAAACTGTCCGTGGCTGCCAAGCCTCCCAGGAGGTTAGCAATTGTCCTGGGGCACTCCACGGGTCAGCAGCCTGAGCTGGCAGGGCTCCTCGCACACGGCACTGTTGCCAAGGGGGCCAGATAATTCTCCATTTCGAGACCTGACCTGTGCAGGGCAGGATGTTTAGCGCATCCCTGGCCTCCACCCACTAGGTGCCTGTAGCACCCCTAGTTGTGGCAAAAATGTCTCCAGATGTTTCTCAGTCTGGGAG